CCTCCTGTGGTGAGTGGTCCTCTGATGGCTCTAAAGCTCCACCTCATCCCCCCCCCCCCCCCCTCTGTTCAGACTCACTCACTCTCAGCTCCGCATGAAGGCTCACACCCAAAAAGCCCCAAAAACCCAGCAGCCTCTGGCTGCAGCCTGTTGCTGGATGTCCAACTCCTCCCACATCCAAGTCGGCCATTTTGATTAGGTCATGTGACTAGCAGCTTTCTGAGGTGGAAACAAAACTTTACTGTCTATACGAAATCGAAAGTCAAACGTAACCCTAACCCTAACCCTGACCCTAACTCTAACCCCTGACCCTAAACCTAACTATAAACCTAAACCTAGCCCTCCACCTTAAACCTGACCCTCCACCCTTAATAACTGTGAGAAATCAATATTTTTTGGTTAAACTTGGTTGGACTTATCGTACAAAACTATTTAACATCCACTATTTTAACATAATATTATGGATAGAGTTTAATTCAGTGTTTGCAAGATTCATTTCACTATTTCTAAATTAATGTCTATATTGCCATGAAGCAATTCCGACTTTCTTGCCTGGGATCTTCCTATTGGTGACCTAATCAAAATGGCCGACTTGGATGTGGGCGGAGTCGGACATCCATCCTTCTGCAGTCTGCTGCCAGACGTATTTACAAAAACTAAAAAACGCCACACTGGCTTCCAACCGCCGACTCGCTCTCCACCTCTTCACCTTCCCACCTGTGCATGCTCCCGGGGGGACGTGGGGGGTGTGGTCCAGGTGTGACCAACAGGTGTGACGGACAGGTGTGTGTGCAGGTGCAGGCCCCGGAGCTACTGCCTGGCCGACAGCGAGGAGGAGTCGTCCAGCGCCGGGTCCTCCGACGAGGAGGAGCCCCCCGAGCCGTCCAGCGACCCGGCCGGAGCCGAGGGGTGAGCCGGGGTCAAGGGTCAGGGGTCAGGGGTCGGGGGTCCTGACTGACCGGGTCACTGACCGGTAGGGGTGGGACGGTTCACAAAATCTTCGGGTCGATTCACGGTTTCGTGGTCGCGGTTTTGGGTTCGGTTCGGTATGTGTTGATTGTTAGGAAAATCTATTATGTCTTGTATAGTCAGGTTAAAACTGAAAGAAAAAAGCAGTCTGACATGTGATCCATTATTGTGACAGTCTGAGGTTAAAAGTAGGTGAGATTCTGGCATTGCAAACAGGGAGACAGTGCTAATTCCAACATGTGCTTCCCTCTAAATGCAAACTGGTCCATACAGCAGACCTAGAAACTGCTGTTGGCACGTCGGATTTTTATCGCTACGCTGCTTTGCTTCTTCTTGTTTGCTACTGGTGGTTGGCTTTGGGTGCAGTAGCGCCCCCTTCTGCTCTGGAGTGTAAACGCTTCCCTCTGACAAAAAGCAGCAGCATGAACCGAACGCAACACACGCGAACCGAACCGAGACAGTCCAACCCAACGGTTTTCAGAAACCGTCCCATCCCTACTGACCGGGTCCCTGTCCAGGTCCGGCCTGGTGGGGGGGCACAAGCCCAGCAAGATCATGCGCTTCGTGGACAAGATCGCCAAGTCCAAGTACTTCCAGAAGGCCACGGAGACGGAGTTCATCCGCAAGAAGATGGAGGAGGTGTCCAACACGCCGCTGCTGCTCAGCGTGGAGCTGCAGCTGCTGCGGGGGCGGCTGGCCGTCAACCTGCCCCCCCCCCCCACCGACAGGATCTGGTAGGGGCAGCCGGGCCCAGCCATAGGGGGGAGGGGGGGGAGGGGACCCATAGAGGGGGGTTCAGGACCCATGGGGAAGGGTGGGACCAATGGAGGTGGGGGTGTGGACCCATAGGAGGGGTCTGGATCCATAGAAGGGG